TTTTTTTTTAATCAGAATCGTATAAATATCTGAATATCATGCCTTTTTTTAAATTTATTTGTGCATGTCTCGTGCTTTTCAGGGCCATTTAGGGCACTACTATTGTAACAGGAACTAAGAGAAAACCAGGTAGTCATTTCTACACTAAGAAGCAGTTAGATGTGAATGTCAGTGATACAGGGCCTTACATAAATGTACTACTGCTACACTGGCAGAGTCCTGCTAGTTACGGTTGTTTGCTGTTGTTTAAAGTATCTGGCTTTAGTGCTTTGACTCTTGCTAGTCATTGGATTGCTGTTAGCTGTCTGTCTCAGTCTACAAAACTGAGGTGTTGTAGCATGGTTACTCAAGTAGATAGCTTGGTTACCGTCTCTTGGTTACCATTCTTCTGAAAACAGCCTTTCTGTCAAGAACTCAAGACAAGATATTTCTCAAGCTGTGTTGTACAGATTCTGATACAATCTGCTAACCGGAAGAACCTGGCTGACTCTTCACAATGCAGGGGAGAGGAAAACATGCCTTGAGAAGGTATGTTTAGCACTTAAACTACTGCTGTACTTCCGGTTACTACTTCCTTCCTACAAGCTATGTTGCACTTGGCAGTAAAAGCTACTTTTATCCTCTCCTGGCCTCTGAGATTTTCATTTGAGGTTAATATTTACATGCAATAACTCTTAAATCTAAGTTATGATCCTGTAGTATCAAGGCATAAAGAAGGAACGCTGGCTGCAAGAAGGACAAAGTATTAGACTGCTCAACAGATGTTCAATTTATCTGTCTTAGCTCTGACTTTTGCAGTGCTCTTAACTTCTGCTCAGATGTGTTTTTATTTATATTAAGGGAATTATCTTTTTGTATTGGGGGGGGAAAAACAAACATAGAGCAAACAACTTGTCTATTAGGAGATTTTCTAGTTTTTAAATCCCATGACAGCCTATAAGAATAATAAAGATTCTCAAGTCCTTATGCAAGAAGAAAAATTCTATACCATGGTAGGTAGATACCATGTTGCCACTGCTCAAGTAAAAGGAATAGTTGAATAACATTCAGTTTTCCTTAAGAGATGCTGTCATAACAAAACTGTTTGGAATGTGCTTCAATTATTGCTAAAAATGAAGTGTTTCAAGGATGCCTTATCACTATCTCATTGTAGGAAGTTTCTTGAAGACATAATATAACTTGTGTTCTTGAAGAACACGATATAACTCAAGTCCCAAGACTGATTTTTCTCAGAGTAGATATGTGGGAAATCAAGTACAGTATTTGAATCAAGAGTTTCCTGGATTGAGGTATGAGCTGTTATCTATGCATAGAGGGCCTGAAATAGTTATTCTTTAAAGTATGATCAGTACTCTTCACAGAATAATCCCTACAGGGAGGGCATTAGGTACCAACAGTAAGAAGTTTTAGAACTCCTTTTAGAGTGAATTGAAAAAAATATGGTATCTTCTGATGCAGATTATAATAGCAGAGCAGGTAATTAGGCTGTGGTGATAGCATCAGATATATCTACACGGAAATTTCAAGACATCACTTAACAATCTGCAGACTAGGTCCTGAGGTCTTCATTATCACAGAATCATAGAATGGGTTGAAAAGGACCACAGTGATTAACTAGTTTCAACCCCCCTGCTATGTGCAGGGTCTCCAACCACCAGACCAGGCTGCCCAGAGCCACATCCAGCCTGGCCTTGAATGCTTCCAGGGATGGGGCATCCACAGCCTCCTTGGGCAACCTGTTCCAGTGCCTCACCACCCTCTGTGTGAAAAGCCTAGTAGAACTGAAGGCATGACTGTCCTTGCATGAAAGCACTTATATTTTCAACTCACTTGCACTGCTGGTTGGTTTTCTTTATGGAGGTAGTCAGAACTGAGGTGCTGCAGGACTTTGTTCCTTACTCCTGCAGCCTGAATAAGGGAATGCTAATGGACTGAGCCTCCAAGCACGAACAGAAAAATGATTTTAACGTTGGCTGCCTGCACATGTACAAGTGTATATAAACAGTATGCAGACCTCATCAGCACTTTCCACTATGATAAGGCAAGTTCAAGTGTGAAAAAGACCTTGTAGTTGAATATAGCTTTAACGTTGGTCTAAAGCGCAGAACCAAAATTTAGTGGTATTGTGACTCTTCTACCAAAAACAAACTAGATTACTGCTAGTTCAATCTATTTACTGTTGTTCCCCTTCAGTGAGATTTTTTTTTTTTAATAAAGCCCGAGGGAACTTAGTACTAATTCTATAACTTAGTGGTCAAGAAATTATTTAAAATGTGAATTTGTATGAAGACTGCAGTTGTCTATCCATGTGTTCTTAGTTTAGTGGCTAATTTCCTTGCTCCAGAGGTAGCATTTCACAAAGGCAGTTATCTGAATGTATGATATATAACTGTCATGAACTGTAATATCAGGTGAGATGAGCTGTGTCAGACCTCAGATGAGAGACATTTTTGTCTGTGATCTGGCCAGAAAGGTCTCACTAATCTACTCAATCTGAGTTGTTAACACAGAGTGGCTGAGCACTTGCAACTCATCCTGTTCTTCCTGTGGAATACCTCAAACTTGTATGTATTCCTGCCCATTTTCTTCCATCCAGGTCTTTGTGCTGTATGTCTCCATGCAACTCAGTGGTCTTGTTTCTGTAGGCTGGAGACAGATAGCTAACAACAGATGCATAACTACAGCCTGAAGATGAGAACTGCCCTTATGGAGTTCTGTCATTTTAGTGAGATCCTGTTTGTGCATATTTGTTCCTTTATGGGAAATTAACTTGTAATTGCCTCTTAATCATACTTCAGTCTTTGGCTTTATAAATCCTGGTCGAAACTGGTCAAGCAGGATCACTGACAGGAAGGACTTGGTGCCTCAAGGTTGCTGTTTCTTCTATCTAGTACCTTGCTGGGCAGAAAGTCCTAAAGCTGTGACCCATCTCCTTGACAGTGTATCTTAGCTGTCTTCTCCAAGCTCTTTCCTTCTGTTCTCCAAACTGTAACATACCAGGTGAGGGGGAGTGGTTGAATAATGACATCATCTTAATCATCCTTTCTTCCTCTCTTTCTAAAGGACTTGATAAACCTAGGGAAAGGCCCATTACCAAATGCTACTTACATTGTAGTATAAAGACCATCTCCAACAGATACTCTACCATCAGAAGTAAATGCTGGCCTGGACTTAAAGTGGGATTCAGTTGGCTTTATTTCACTTGATTAATGTGGGTTTTTTGTTTTGTTTAGTCTTTTTTTGGTAGTTTTCTGATTGGCACCTTTTAGTAGTTCTGCAAACATTGTGCAAAATCCCTGTTTTATTGCAATAGTTTGTCAGAATGGGCACACAATAATAACGTTGCTTTCCTAAATTATGACTTGAAATATTGGCTCTTGCTATATCATCTATTTCTACTTGGTAACTCTTGAAATTTTCACAACACCACCTGTTCTCTTGACTCAAGGATTACCTACCTGTCACCAAGTAAGTTCCATACAGAAGAGAACAGAGAGAGCTGCCAGAGATTTTTCTCAAATTAGCAGTATTATTTTAGCTGATATACTTGAGCAAGGATAAATGCAACTCAGAAAACACCCAATTAGCAGATCTAGCTTTATTCCTGTTAGCAGGTAGTTGACTAATGGTGTCCCTTTTGTCTAAATGGAAATGAAGGCCTTCAGGGTCGCTTTTTTTTTTTTTTTTCATCTAAAGATCTAGGCATTTGTGTCCTTTCTATGTTAAGAACCAGTTAAGCATTGACATCCATGGCTCTACTAGTTGCAGGCTGGATGAGTCAGTTCATAGTTATTGACTTAACAAATTGAGGAAAGAGGAGAAAGGTAGGAGTGAAAACAAAATTCTTAAAGTAACTTCTAAGTAATGGGTAAAGCATTAGCTGAAATAATGCTAGTGGTGAATAAGCCATTGAGAATTACAGGCTTTTAAAGCAGAAGGTATGCAACCTTTCCAGCAGTTGTCTGGGGACATAGAACATCTCAAATGGAGTGCTGATTAAAAGGTGACTTGGTATGTGGCTACCTCATTAGAAATAAAGGAAATTAGTCGTAGTGGAAGGCAGCCCAGCTATTTAATTATCTAAACAATGTTTTGGCTTCACTTGTCACCTAAAATTAACACTATCTGAAATCACTACTGTACCTCATACTCAGAGCAATTTTTGTAGCAGGTATGAATGTCCATATCTTTCTGTCTGGGTATAGGTGATCTTCAGATGTACATGTGCCTTTATTTGTTAAAAGTCACTCAGTATTTCTGCTGTGTGGGAACAAAACATGGTGACTGCTGGTGATGGTGCATATTTTGTATATTCATACGTATCATGAGTTTCCTCTCTGAGGCTCGAAAGGTAACATGGTATGGATTTGAGAGAAACAGTGGACTTGCATGGCTTAACTTCTGGATTTTTTTGTGGGGAGAGGGGGTGTAAAACAGGTTGCTTGATTACTCTTTAGGCAAGGATGTGGTGGCTTTCTGTTTTTGCCTTTCTTCTGAAACAGTCTTGCAGCCTAAGGAATTCATTGGCTTTCACTTCTTGACTGTTGAAACTTCAGACATTGACACTGACTATGATGGGAGCATGAATAAGATCTAATAGCTTTTTTTTTTTCCTGTTGATATCTTCGTGAGTGTTAAAAACAGGTCCTAGCAAATATTTCTTGCATGGTCTCCTGCCCTACTACAGAGATGATGGTTGCAGTGAAGAGTACAACAAATCTCTAAAGTTCTAAAAATAGCTTTAGAAGTTAAGAAGCTACAGGTTGACGCATTATAACAGGCTGTTGCAAATACAACCTGCAGATGTATGTCAGTATGATATACTGATTGGGTGTTATTGAGAGAAAGGGGTCATCACCTAGTTGCCATAACTTCATGCTCTCTGAGGAGCAGCCTAAGATGAACAGGTGAGATGACACTTCTAGTCAGGAGTCCTGTTTCAGTAATTCAGCAGAACAAAATTGGACTAACAGGTCTAATGGGAGTATTTCTTCTTTAAGGTAAAATATTATGCCTGCCTACTGATTGTGACTTGGATTTCAAACTACAGCAAGCATAGCTGACAACTATCTCATCATGTCTACTGAAGCTGAAAGTACTTCTACTGTAAACAACCAGCCAGAGCACCAGGCTCCACCAAAAACACAATCTTCAAAGAAAGAAAAAAAGAAAGGTAAGCAATATCTATTCAGTGAACACTTCTGCTCAGTCTCCTTAATTTTTTGCATTTTCTTAAAGCTGTGATCACTTTCGCTGCATAGTTGACATAATTTTGAGGTTTCAAGTTGGCTGGAAAAGTGAGTAAATAAGCTAGTGATAAAACTCTAATCAGAAGGTAGGCTTCTAGGTAGAAAGCTGTTTCTAGCTATTCTAAGGCTTTCAGTTCTACTTGTCAGAATCAGCAAATAAGTCATTGGAAACTTGGCAAAATGAAAGCTTTCTGAGAAGGTTAAACAACTGAGGACCATCCAGGAACATGAACTCAATTTTTTTCCCTCCAAAGATGGAATGACATGCTAGATCTAGATTCAGATTTTACCCCAAAGAATCTAGAAAACACCATTCATGAGAATAATTGTCAGTCAACAGGTTTTTAGACAGATTTGGTTATGTAAATATATATCATACATCATACATATATCATACACCAGAGATACATACTCAAAGTGTACACACTGAGTGTATGGAGCATGCAGAAGAAAATGAAGATGTTCTGAGAAGTAATGGGAACAGCAGGAATAGCAAATGCAGCTAAAATATCAAGAGGTTACAGGGATGTGGTGCTGATACAAAATTTCAGCATGGGTACTAGCAAGTTCTTAGAGACCAAGAAATGTTCTGATTAGACCACAACTGGCAGCAAACATCTGAAAGTCTTACTGAACACCCAGTATCACCATAGGAAATACTGGTTTTTGCTTAGAGGTGGTGTTTAGCTCTCATATCTAGTTGGCTGTTACCTGAAAATAAGTCTGTTGGGATTGTTCTGAAATCCCTCGACATTAAGCATTAGATCCAACTCTCTGAATAGAATCTTACAGATTCTGTAAGAGTAGCATGACCTTACAGGATCAATTACCTTGCAGAGCATACACCACTGGAAGGACTGTGGTTGTTTGTCCATTATAATCGTCAGTTTTTAAAAGCAAAAATGTACCATATTAGTACATATAAAATAATATTTCTAAAGCCACAACATAAATATTTCTCTTCTAAACAAATCTGTCTTTCTCTAGGGCCAGAAAAGACAGATGAATCTCTCCTGACCAGATTCAAAGGGGATGGTGTAAGATATAAAGCTAAATTGATTGGCATTGATGATGTGCCAGAAGCAAGAGGAGACAAAATGAGTCAGGATTCAATGATGAAGTTGAAGGTAAGATTTTGAGTTGGCATCCAAGCAACATGTTTTGCTTGGTCTTCAGAAGATGCATCAAATGACTTTGTCACAGTTTCAAATATTGCTTAGTGGGAACATCTAGGATGATATTTATTACTTCATGGAAGATGCTTTTGAAGTTGTAACTCATTGCTTGGAGACTGGTAGTCTTAAACATAATCAGTTGTTTCTCTGTCTTGGGAACACTCTATTGATGAATCTCTTGTAATCAGTCATACTAGATTCCAAGGTATTAAGTTGATTACAGGTAGTTAACTTAGGTTTTGGATGGGGAAGAGGGAAATTTTTCTTTTTTAGGGTAAGACTGCAAAGCCCAAACTGCTATTCTGTAGCTATGGTAACACCAAAAGATACAAATCAACCAAAGGGTAAATGTGACCCTGCAGCAATGAAGATAACCTCTTCTGAAGAGCAGAACCCTCACATTAGTTTCTGCTAGACCAGTAAATCTGAGGTGGCCTGGGAAGGATGCTGTTACTTCACTGGTTCCTTGAACAAAGGCAAAAGCTTTAAAGCTCCTAAAAATTTATGAATGAAGTACAATCTAGTTCTGAAATGCTCTATGAGGCTTCATGTTGGAATAGAAATGTGGCTTAAATACTGCTTAGGAATAACTAGACTAGTGCTAATACAGTCACAGCTATGGGCTCATGAGAAATGCTAAGGAAGCAAGCTAAAGCTCAATCAAGTGGAAGTCTCATCAATACTATAATATTCATCTTATTCAGGGAATGGCAGTGGCAGCTCGTTCCCAGGGTCAACACAAGCAGAGGATTTGGGTGAACATCTCCCTCTCTGGTATCAAGATCATAGATGAGAAAACTGGGGTAAGAAATGACTCATTCTCTTATTTTGACTCTTAAATAAAGTGAGTTGGAGTTAGATGAATCTAAAGTAAATCCATTAATAGTACCTTGCAATTTGAACTTCATTTCTTTCTAATTCCAGGTCATCGAGCATGAGCATCCAGTAACCAAAATCTCTTTCATTGCTCGGGATGTAACAGATAATCGTGCCTTTGGCTATATTTGTGGAGGAGAAGGCCAGCACCAGTTTTTTGCCATAAAAACAGCGCAGCAGGTATTGATTATAGGCCTTTTTCCACATTCTATAAGTAATGTATTATCTAAACTCTTAGTAAAACATCTGATAAGGCTTTCTTACTGTTAGTTCTGTGAGGTGTAGAGAAACATCAGCACTGATGGATTGGTATATATATCCTGAAGAAGGATGGTAGAAAATGACTATCATCAGTGACTTTGGTTTTATTCAGTTCTGTCATCCAGAATAAGAGCGTTCAAGTGGCTTTGCTTATTATTGTTGTTGCTTAACATTTCATTCACTATGAAAGTCATTAATAAGATGAACAGACCCATTATTATGAGCTTTCCTGCACAGAAGTATGTTGCTGTCAGTGAGAATATTTTTGAGTCAAACATCCATAGGTTTGCTCAATTAGTAGGAAAGAGAGAACAACAGAATTGCACTAGTCTAGTTTTCATTATGCATTGTCTTGCACAGCAGTAAAAACTAACTTATATATAACTGCAGCAATATTTCTGAGACAAATGAGTGGCATAATTGGTTGTCCTAGAGTTGCTTCTTCTGAGAGGAGTTCTAATCTTCCTGTAATGGGCTTCCACCTTGCAGAAATTCAGTGTGCAGAGTATGTCTCTGTGAAGAGAAACTATGCATAAGCAGTATTAGATACAAGCTACTTAGAATTAATGCTGAATATTGTTCAGCTTCATAAAATACCTGGACATGTGCTAGATATTTATCATGATAAGCTGCTAGATAACCGTGTCTAAAATAGTCACCATAATGACTTGAACAGCCAAGACTTCAGTGCTAGATATTTCCTCACACACACCTTCCTACATTCCTGTAGGACCTCTTGTCAGCTTCAGACCTACTGCAGGTGAGAGTGAGGAGCTCCTTGTTAGAACTTTAGTAACAGCTGTTACACCACTGAGCTTGTTTTATTTCAGACTCCTGTTCTGATCTGCTTCACTGGAATTGCAAATAAAGCACAAAAGCTTTCTGTGTGATCAAATGGAGTCTGTTCTCTGGGCTTTACACCATGGGGTGCTGCTTGCTAGTCTGTAAGCTTAGCCAAACCATAGATAGCTCTTTATTTAATTGCTAGTTGCTTTTAAACGTAAACACATTTGAGTAGTAAGCAGTTCAGCAGATCTAGACTACTGCTGTAGCTGTACTCTTTGTCAAAGTGATAACTTGAAATGGTTCTTCCTGCAATTCCATATCTAAAACACTTGATTAGGATAGGAGGATTCTCACATATGAACAGAGACCAGTTCAACAGATTTTCTGCTCAAGCCAAAGGTAGAGTCTGAGCAGGAGGACTTGTCACTGACTTGTCAGAACTTTACACTGACTCAGCTGCAATATGCTTCAAGCAAAAGTTTCTAATCAATATAGCTGAACCTGCTACCACTTCAACAACGTTTCCAAATATTCTTAATAATGTTCTGTTTAGAGTCACCCATTCTTGTTCACAAAATGCAATACCTTTCTAATTCACACTGAACTTCCATCCAGATGCAGATGTCAACTCTGGTGTTCCAATCACTTGATTGATTGCATTAAAATAAATATAATACTAAAGAACAGTTCTCCAGTTGGAGTTAGTAGAAAGCAGAGAAAATGTTCGTTGTTATCATCTCGTGAAGATACCAGAGCTTCAGTGCCCTGTACATTTCTGAGGAAATGTTTAGGACTTGCCATGTACTTACGAAATTGTGAATTTTAGGGAGAAAAAAAAAAAAATTAACTTTCCCCAGGGAGTTAACTGTTCTGGGCTGATGGGCTGCCACCGCCTCAGCTCTCTGCATAAGAGAGTTTATGAAGGGACCAGGCAATCTTTGAAGTCTTGCTTTTCCTGGTATCTCAACTGTACTATTGCATCACTTAGGAAAGTTTGACTTGCAGTTTCCTGGACTTCTACTGAAGCTAAAAACAAAGTAATTTGTAGTCTAAATATGTTCTTTTTCAGGCTGAGCCTCTAGTTGTTGATCTTAAGGACCTCTTCCAACTAATATATAACATGAAGAAGAAGGAAGAAGAAGACAAGAAAAAGGCAAGTAAAATTACAGATGCTGCAGCAGTCTGCATAAAGTTTGTTTTAGCTTTGGCTGGGCTTGTAGACCACTGTGAGACATGATACTTTTGGCTGGCAGTTGTGCCAGCAGTTTCATCACTAGATTTAGGAAGCTAACTAAAGCCTCTTTGGATATTCTACCTGATGTGTAGATACTAAAAGCTTTTTTTCTTCTTCAGAGTGAAGAAGCAAATAAGACTCAGGTAAGACACTCTAATTCATCTTTACTTGATCAGGTATTTGGCTGTGATGGATCTAGCTCTGTCTTTCTTCATGCTGCTAGCATTATGGTAGAATCATGAGATGCCCAATTACACTGGAAATTGAGACAAATGTGTCTGCAGAACTAATAGTAGGGATCTCCCATACTTTTATATCATTTGTTCAAGCATGTAAGTTCAGTGCTTAGGGCAGGTTTTGTTATTCTTGTCACTGACACTGTTGTCCATCTATTCCAGAATGGTAGCGAGGCACTATCTACTGGTCAAGCTGACAAACTGAAACTAGTAGGTTAAATTTTAGAGCTTTATCCTGACATCATTAAAGTTCATAGCAGACTATCTCCATGTCACACAGGAAATACAAGTTTTGTAGATGTTCAGTATATTTGTGTAATACTTGGATTTTGCAACAACTCTGACACCAATTCTTTCAATACTTTTGGCTTCAAGGGAGTTGACCAGATGGACTTGTTTGGGGATATGTCAACACCTCCTGATTTGAGCAGTTCCACAGTAAGTGGACTCCAGCTTTACTTATCTCACTTCTATGTTTGAGAGCAAACTTTGTCTGAGTAGTAAGATCTATTTTGTTCTGGTTTTACAGAAGCCTCTTCCTACTTGTAGCAATATATTAGAAACTTAGAGCTATGATAGTGGGAACATATTAAATAGACTAGCTAATATTCTTATCCAACAATATTCACTGAAGTCTGTGTGACAGAAACACTACTTACTCTATTCCTATGTTGTTAGCCATAAGTCTTATAAATATGTACTAGCAGCATATGCCTTTGCTGTAAGAAAAAGGTAAAAACTCAGTTAACAACCTTTAAGGTTGAAACTTATTTTTTGGATGAGTCATATGTTCAGAGTGGACTTCTAGGTATTACGGATGTAAGCTAGGTCCATAAAATAGGGCCTAACTTCACAGAAGTATGCATTTACCTTGTAAAAACTCATTGTGACTTCAAAATTGTATTAGTTTGCTCTGGCACAAAAAGTTATAAGTAGTCATGCAACAATTGGTGTTGCAATTGATGTCAACAGAGCTATTGACTAGGTCTTATTCTTCTGCCACCTGCTTTGGTGGATAGTGTGTTAACCTTCTCCACAGGCAGATTGCTTTCTAATCTTATTCTAAAGCTGAGACTGCAACTTGGAATCACTCTAAGGCAATGTGATTTCACAATTGTTAAAACAAAGGGCTAAAACACAAGCTGTCACTGGGGTCAAACATCCCTAGGTATAATTAGTGCTAATGACTAAAACTTCCCTTAAATTAAGTTCACTTGAACTAAAGGGATCTTGAAACAGGTGCTTTCAACAGAAATTTTTTGAACTGAGTAGCTGAGATATGATTACAGCTACCAGACTTATAAAATGGTACCTTAGTGTGACTTCATCGTGACATTGAATTCATATTAGTATGATGTGCTGGATACCAGAACTGTCCTATTCTATAAGTTTTCCTTAAGCTTGTATACTTTGCAGTAGGTGATACAGAAAACTAACTTTCTTTTCTTTCTGAACAAATAGGAAGCTAAAGAGATTCTCTTAGTGGATCTCAACTCAGAAATTGAGACCAAACAGACTTTTACAAAAGAGGATCTCTTCTTGAATGGCATCACACCTTCTCTTCCACAACCAAAGCCACGGCCACCCTTCTTACCAGAAAGTTCTTTCTCTACCAATCTCAACTTCTTTCCCACACCTAATCCAGACCCTTTCAGTGATGATCCTTTTGCACAGCCAGACCAATCCACACCACCTTCATTTGATTCTCTAAAATCTGCTGATCAGAAGAAGGAAAATCTGAGTACCTTGACATCGGTGGGTAATGGTGCTTCAAATGGTGATGTTGACTACTTTGGTAAGCAGTTTGACCAGATATCTAATAGAGTTGGCAAACGAGAAGCACTAACAAGCCAGTGGCCATTTGACAGTAAGCCACCCACAGCAAGAACTCCAAATGGGGTACCAGAGAGAGAACAGAATGGCTTTCTTAAAGCCCCATCAAACCTTTTTGTGGAAGATCCTTCCAAAGGAGTAACTCTGCAAAATGGAGTAAAGCTGGATTCTGAAAGCAATATCCAGCTCTTGTCACATGAATCTATAACAATTAGCCCACCACCACAAAGTAACAAGCCAGGAAGAGGAAGGAGGTCTGTCAAGGTGAACAATGTTCAAGTAATTAATGGTGATATGCATGCTCTTACTTAGAGAAGCTGGTGAAGGAAGCTTTTTTCTTCATACTGTGTAAATGACTAAAGAGCTTCACAGTGTCTCTCTTCCACCTGCCATGCTTACTCTAACCTCTCTGCAGCCATGGTAAATCCTAACTCTCATGAATGCTCCATAGTAGCTATGATTACTAAACATATGCTCTTTTCTTTAATGCTGCCGTACTTCTGTAAAGGTCTGGTAAGTATACTGCTGTGAAATATTAATGCCAGCTACAATACCAGTAGCTGGTATGATGGCTATGATAGATACACATAGCCTGTGGCTTCTTAACAGTGAGATACCAATAGTAGTTTACAGAAGTTGATGTGGCTTCACGGTGCCTGCCAAATTTGCCTGGTCACAGGGTGTCTCTGGGTTAATCTCTTGCAGTTGACTGAAACAGAACTCAACTGATGACCTTGACATAACTTCAGGGGTCATCACAGTCTGGGCAGGAGTATTTATATGTGAGGAGAAGAGGATTCTAATGGTAACAAGCAATTCAGTTACTCTATAAGTCTTACTCTTCTGCTGTTGACCTGGAACTACTATGTATTATATACAATGCTGAACTTATCAGTAGGCATAAACTGGTGAAGTTTGAATCACTTATACCAAGTACCTTTAGAATATGGCAAAGCTTCATGCTCTGCTGTAGCTAAAATAACATCTTGTACCTTCAGAGTAAGACTTCTTGATCATGTTAGTTTATATTCTGCCATGCCATTTCACAACAACTTTTTTTCTTTCTAGACTGCATCAAATGACTTGTTTAGCTCGGACTTTTTTGCACCAACTACAGAGAGCCTTGGCTTAAATTCATCAGTACAGACAGGACCGGTGCAAACTAATCGACTGAACCTCTTCAAAACAAGCCCTGCCACAGCCCCTCCATTGGCTGGCTTAGGTTAGTTCACCACAGATATCTTAGATTGGAATAAGAGCTTGAATTTAAACCTAGCATGGATGTTCTAATTACCTTTTATTTCATGTGCAGTGCTTAATCCTTGTGCTGTTTGTCATAAACTATTAAATTCTGTGAATTAGGGACCTAAATTCTGCATCTTCAACTAGTACAGGGCTTTTTGCTTAAACTTTGACAACAGGTCAGCTCCAGGTTGTTTCAGAATGCTAATGTGTGTATCTCAGCTTGAGAAGCTCGAGATTGCTGCAAGATCTTAGTAAATACTTATGCAGAAGTAACCATCAACCACAGTTCTGTTCTTTAAGGACTGACGTGAAGAAAAAAATACTAACCCTTTTTTCACCAGCTTTCTTCCCCCAGTGGCATTATATTAAGGGTAAATCAGCAGATTTTTACAAACAGCACATGAAGAATACCTTTCTGGTATCAACAGTGGAATTGGTACACTCATTCTTGATCTTTGAATCACTGAAGCACTGTGTAACAACTGTATTCCCCACAGGTGGCTTGCCATCACCATGGAGTACAGAGATGCCTGCCTTCACCCAGGCCACATCTGTCTTTCCTGGGTCTATGATGTCTACCCAGTCTCCAGGATTTACTCAGCAACTTACTTTTGGCTCTCAAGCGGTGCCAAGCTGGAGCCAGCCTGGATCTTTTGGTCCAACAGCATCTCAGTCCTCTGGCCTCTGGGCACAGCCAGCACAAGTTCCATCTGCTCCATGGGTACAGCCATCCAGTGCTGTAAATCCCTTCCAGAGTAGTGTTTTTGCACCTTCAACACTACCTGCTCAGACACAGTCTGTACTGCCCTCTGTGTCAACAACAAGCCCACCTCAGCCACCACCTAGAACTGCACCTCAGAAGGAGCTATCCAAGAAAGAGAGTGATGCTTTTATTGCTCTGGATCCACTTGGTGATAGAGAGATGAAGGACGTCAAAGAAATGTTCAAAGATTTCCAGCTTACAAAGCCACCTGCAGTACCAGCAAGGAGAGGAGAGCAACAAAGTCTTTCAGGTGCCTCTGGAGCTTTCAGCAATTGCTTTATTAATAAAGTACCCATTTGTCAAGATAGTACAGGTCAGAGCGATGTGAAAGTTAGCAAGCTGTCCACAAAAAAGACTGGTAGAATCTTTCTTGTATTTGAATAGCTACTCAGGTAACATGATGGCTGATCATGTCTTATTTAATAGCTACAATTATACTGATTATTTTATTTACTTTAAAGTTCTTAAACAGAGGATTGAAGGACTGTTTCCTCTAATAGCATTACATAGACCATTATCAGTGGCCAAACACTGACGCATCTAGTGCCTAGGCTGGACTGAGGTAGACTAGGTCTGTGCAGTGTTATAAGACCCAGATAGCTTATGTGTATTGAGGAATAGGCAGGAGATAAAACTGAGGTCATGCAAAGCAATTTGCATGCTTTTTTCGATTTTTTTTTAAATCTATTTTTGTTTGTTTGTTTTTAAACGTCTAATTGGATGAGTTTAGGGTCAGTATGCTGATAGGGCTTAGTACGTGTAGAAGCTGTTTAGTGATATAGCAGTGTGTCTCCTCTTCCTAGAACCACTGAAGCCTGTTCCCAGACAAAGTGCACTACCAATTGATGGCCTGTTTGATAGTCAACCTAAACCAGACTTTTTCAATGTCTCCTCTGTAAGTAATAGATGTTTTCTCTATGCCTATTACTGCACCCCACCAACACGAATATTTGTGATGCAGTGGATTTAGAGGTCATGGAAGAAAACTTCTTGCATACTTGGTCTAACAAAACCCTTCTTGAAAGAAGGCTAACAAAGCTTTTATTCCATTTAGCTGAAGTCCTATGCTCCAAGCTGTGAAGCCTCTCTGCAACTTTGTTTCTATATGGGGGGAATTTCGACTGTAAAGTAATAGAGGTGAAGTGGAAGATTTCTATAGCTATGCTTACTTCTCTGCATAGCAGACAATGTTGACTGTGCAGGTGTTTTCTGAACAAATGGGAGGATCCCACGTCCAATATCCTCTTGGGGAAGAAAGTGGCCTAACCACATCACTCCATTTGGGACATGACACTCAGAGTCCCTGGTGGGAAAACCTGGATCACCTCCAGAATGCTGATTTAAAACATCTAACATTTGGCTAATCAGATTTCATCATGAATACACTAACTCAGCTCCTTGTGGCTTTTCTAAAGGATACCTTAACCCAAACTAATGTGTACTAACACAGCTTTAGATCTCCTTTTACGTTCCTTAAAGCAAGGCATCTAATACCTGCTTAGCCAGTGCTCTTCAGTATTCTTTCGAGAAGGAGTTTGGAATCAAAACCAGTTGAAATAACCATGAAGAATAAAACCTGAAAAACCTTTAATGACTAATGATTTATTACTTTTTTTGGCAGGAATCTCAGAAGCAACATTCTGGCCCATTTGGTGGTCCTTCTGGCAACCCTTTTGCATAGACCAGGTAATATTTACTCTATTGAGACAAAGTACTTCAACCTCTGAAATTGTTTTCAACTAGCTCTTTGCCAGCAGTTTTCCTGAATCAAGTACAACTGGCTTAACTTTATTGCTCCTCTGAAGTAGTGCTTGATGTACTCTAGAAGCATTCTTCTAAGGACCTCTGCTTAGAGCTGTACATGCTGTCTGCCTAGACCTTACTAGTGTCACTTTCTTAGCAATAAAGATCCTGTTTCTCCAGAGTCTTGAATCTCAAAGCCATAATAGATGTCTACTTCCTTTCCTTGAGGAAAGTTAATGAGTATGCCAAGTCTGTGGGGCATGTTTACAGGAGAGTGATAGAAGAAAGCCCAGAGCAGCTCTCTGAAGTTTAATATCTGAAATATTATTGGATTATAACCTGGGTGAATTAAAGTGATAACAAGCTAAGAGCTGTTATGAGAGCTTTTGCCGTGAGAAACAAATTAGTTCATGCTCTTTTAAAACTGACTAAAGAGCATGAATTGTCAGATGTGTGGCAGAGGAATAGATCTGCTAATTTAAATCATGGAATCAGTAAGGTTAGAAAAGACCTCTATGATCATCTATTCTAAATGTCTGCCCACTATACTACATCCCTAAGTGCCATATATACACATTTCTCAAATCTTCCCATGAAGATGTTACGAGACTGTCCATCTTGTAACAGAAGACATGTAATGCTATTGCTTTAAATTTGCCTTAGTGTCTATAAGCTAGTTTAAACTATGAAGCTATAACTTCAAGTCATTCTAACCTTAAATTCTTTTCAGTATACTAGGCATAACCAGGAAAGGAGAAATGGAATAACTGGACCTCTTTTCAACATCAATTTCCTACTTTTTTCATTTTTGTCTGCCACTCTTGCTGCCGTTCCATGATGTGTCATCTAAAACATGTCCAGGTGGATTGAAGCACAAACACTGAAGAACATGCTGTGAAGATAGTAATTCAGGGCAAATGGAAACTTAGACTCAACCTTGAAGACCCAAAATCAAATTGGTGGATGTTAATTTTACTTAAGGCTTTGCATTCATTTGTGGAAGAGCTTAGCACTAAGTCATGTGTTTCATAAAATGTGGTCACCTCAGTTTCTCTTTATTGTAGCACTTACTGTCCTGAAACATGGGAATTGAATGTACCTAGGGAAGAAATGCTGCCTTAACATAAGGGAATTGAATTAGTGGCTACTCCACGCTCTAAACAACTAGGTCAGTTGCTGTATGTTTATACAATATCAGCCAGTTGTAAAGTTACGTGGATATTACATGCTTCTAATTGGTGAATGAACATATGACTTGGTCTCTAAGCCATAAAGATTGTATGGAACTGGGGAGAGTTGGGGAAGGGGGAACACATCCAATATACTTGTTCACTTAACTAATGGTAAAAGTAGCATTCTGCCATAAACGTATAATAAAGGGACTAACTGTAGGGTCTTCAACAGAGCTGCTGGGGTCCTAAGCAATAGGGGTCTACTGCAAGATCAAATAAGCTGAAACATTTCTTGAAGGACACTGAGGTATTCATGGACACTAACTGTTGTATTGGTGCTAATATAGCTATTTCAGGGAGGGAAATCTATAAAGATTACCTTTCTTTATCAAGGTGGCTTGGCAGACAAATGGAACAAGCAGATAGGTCAGACATGATGTAGTACGACATTATTCCAATGTGTTAGAAAGCAAAAAGACAATAGTTGCTTTACTCTATGCCTTGATTCCTTGTGAACAGATGTACCATCTCTGTGCCATTAATGTGAGGCATAATCTCTTAAACAGTGCCTTTTCCAAAAAAAAAAACCCAAAAAAAAAAAAACCCTCTTTACTAACAGACCTTTAAATCAGAAATCAGTCAGATGTTACAACTAGTTGTAACACTTTGTCAATGGGGATAGCTGATATCTGAATGGTTGTGTTTTTGTTTTTGTTTTTTCCTGTTAATACTAAGTATAAACTTGAAATAGTATAAATCAAATGCCTAAGCAGTTGCTGAACTGGAGATCTAAGAAAATCAACTTGAAGACAGCCTTAGTACTCAATTCAGCAGGTCATGCAATTATATAAACCTTTCTTGCACTTTCTGTAATGCAAAGAAGCTATGAATTTAAATATTTGTCTCAAACTGGAAATGTAGAAACTTCTGGATATTACACTGCTATATAAAACTGTAGTATCTCAACTGATGTTACCTAATGACATTAAAAACAAGCAACTCTCATAGCAAAGAAACATCTGTGTGGCTGTTGGTTTTATCCTTATAACTCAATCTTTTTGTATAATTGATTCTACGGTGTTTGGTGCTGGCTAAGAATTGTTTGTTTCACAGGTTCCTAACATAGCTGTTTGACAGCGTTCTCTTAAGTCTTTCTGTAGCATCTTGTGTCTCAGGCCTGTTCAACATGAGTTGCTCCTCATTAAGTTCTCAGCTGACTTAAGCGTTTCCTGCTACTAATGTGGACAGCCAACAAGAATAAATAAATAGGATATTTTCTGTCTTAGGTAGCTGTCAGCCATAATTTTTTGCTGAATAATTTAGAGTAAGTTCTTGCTTCCTTAAATCATTTGTTACTGGCATTGATTAGTAGCTTGAAAAATGCTTATTTGGAAGGCAGTTCATTTCCATATTGAAGTATAGGCCTTCAAAGAATCTCTTTTGGCTGCAAGGAAATGTGATTTAGTATTTGGAGATACTGTCTAATCTAAAACTTAAAAAAATCTATTCTTTAGTGCTTAAGTGAAGGGCTACTCTTTTAAATACACTATACATTTGAAATCAGCAAATAATCATTTAGGAGCTTTTCAGGCTAAAATTAATAGCCCTATGATGCTGGGGCTTGACAAAAGCTGATAAGATCAATAAATTATAAAAAACTTGGGTTGTAAGGGACCTGTTGTGGGTAGGGTTGCCATCCACTAGATCAGGCTGCCCAGGGCCTCATCCAGTCTGGCACTGAACACCTCCAGGGATGGGGCATCCATTGCTCTCTGGACAGCCTGTATCAGTGCCTCATCACCCTCTGTCTAAAGAATTTCCACCTAACATACATCTCACTTATTTTAGATTTAAAGCCATTCTCCCTTTTACTATCACTGTCAGACCATGTAAAAAGTTGTTTTTTTCCTTTCTGTTTATAAGCACTCTTTAAATACTGGAAGGCTGCAAAGAGGTCTCCCTGGAGCCTTCTCTTCTCCAGTCTGAACAAGACCAGCTCCCTCTGTATTTATTCATAGGAGAAATGCTCCGACCCTCTGAGGATCTGTAAGGCCTCCTCTGAACCTGCTCTGAAAACTCCACATGTTGTTGATCACTGATCATTGTTAGAAGGACCTCTTAGAGACTGGTTGGAGATGCTTGCTGGTTGGTTAACTGAGCTTAAATAGCCATTTATTCTGACTTACCTTCTGTCTTAAAGAACAATCATTTCTGTTGGTATATATAGCATTAGTTGAAGCTAATGAAGAAACTACAACATTACAAGCATCCGTGTCTCATGTTCTTGCTCAACAAATGAGTTTTATGTCAAGGATCATTTTACTGCAGACTCTAGCTTAGGGTCAACAGGCTTCTGGGGAAAGAGTTGTTTAAGGGCAATAGGTAGGGTAGTGAGACTGTGTGATATAGATAGGCACTGCAGCCGCTGCTGGAAGTGTTTACTACTAGTATATGTGTTTACAATAGTTAGTGACAGTGGAAGGTCTGAGGCATCAGAGCCAGGCAGGGTAAGCTGAGAGTAAAAAGGATTGTCCAAAAACCCTGCGATTACTGAGCCGTTGAAAATTGAATGGTTAGAAACATACACGTCGATTCAGTATCTCAGTAACAGCTTACTTCATATGTAACCTGAACATATAATAAATAGTACTTGAAAGTTGAAGAGACTGGTATATCTTCCTTGTCCAAAATGCAGCTTTCTCAGGTTTTTGGAATCAGGTTACATTTGTTTTATCTCCTGCTGCGTTTATATGAGGAAAGGGCATCATTAGAGTAGAGGGCAATGCACTGCATGCAACAGAAGCCCCGTCACACTGTGGAAAATGCACATCTGCTAATCAGGTGGTTGCAGGAGGTCCCACTGTAGTACAGAGGCAGCAGCATTAACCTGGAAGGGTGCAGGGGGAGAGCTGCCTTGGAGTGGATGGATACTCAGCATGAAAGGCCAAATCTGAAATTACAAATAGTAATCCAGGCAAGTTAGACTTCAGTATCTCATCACTCTTCTGCTATGCAGCATTGCTACCTGTGAAGATACGGTCACCCAAAATTATTGGCCTTGGTTTTTAAAATGGACAAGTCATCCTACAGTGCTTTGGTATGTACAATCTAAGTGTCAAGAGACACATTTTTCTATAACGTGATAGCTTTTCACTTACTGAGAGCCAGGATTTCATAGCGTTTGAAGTTGGGCACTAAAATGAAGAGTCACACTGGAAATTATAGGTCTCCATCTGAAACCAAACTAGCAAAGCATTACACTCAGCAAGGTATAAATACTCAAAGAGCTAAGCACTTGCTTGCTTTTTCCAACTATAAGTTAGCCTACTAGCAAATAACATGTTTATTCATGAGCTTTCTTTTAACTCAGGAAAGCATTTAGACATTTGTTTAGGCTTAAAGACAACTCCACAAGCTTAATACGCTCAGAAATTAGAAAGTCATATTGAAGCATTATGCCAATTTGAGATGTGCTGGTATGCCTTTGCTTCAAGTATGAAGGTCATGGCCACGATCTGAAAAGGGTAACTCTGTGTGTAATTGTTTGATTCTCTTCAATAACATGACCCACCAGAAGAGCAGGAGCATGCACAAATGAATATCTGAGGTTTTTTCTCATGTAATTTTAAGCCAGCAAAGAAAAGTTAGGCAGTTGTTAATCAAAGTAACAAGTACTTCTATGAAAGAGGCAGAAAACAGCTAGAAAATGCTTCCAAAATATTGATCTACAATTTAAATACAAACTCAAACGTGATTTTAGTATGCTGCTCAGGGCTATATTGGCATGTGGGTTTTTTTGACAGCTTTTCAGAAAAAGCTTTTCTCAGGGGGATGAGAGTACTGAAGGCTGTACCTCCAATAGAGAGAAAGATGAGCAGCTGGAGCACATCGGTGCATTGTGACCCCTGTAAGGGTAAGCTGTAGCTGAATGTCATCATACCAAAACAACAATCAAAAAAGCATTATCAGTTTATGGGAAAATATCAAATTGCAGCTCCTAAAATAGCAGGTTTGTGATTTGATGAAACCCATAATCATTTCAGACCTGAAACCACAATAATAAGGGAAGACTGTGCCCCGATGTACACTGCTTGTCAAGTACTCACATTGGAAATTTCTGTGGGAAGAAATAGATTTTATGGCCACGTGGATATTCCTATTAAGAACACTACTTTTTCCCCTTTTAAACATTACAGAAGCAATCTTTTCAACTAGAATAGATTTGTCTTTCCTTAGAGATCTCTTTTCAGAGTACAAAAAAAAATGAAAGACTTGAAACCAAATAAAATATTTATGATGTATTTCCTCCCAGGATTCAAAATAATTGAAATAATGAGATAAATAAATAGATAATGTAAGCATCTCTACATAGTTGCGAAGATTTTTTTTTTTTTTTTAACAACATAAGCTGTCCCAGCAGACTTTCAACCAATAATTTCACTGAAGATGCTTAATTTTAAAAAGTTATACGTTCAGCTGAAAATTCCTTAGTTCTGGAGGTTCTCTTTTCTCTCTAAGCATATTAAAACTTTTATTAATATTTCAAATTTCATACCAGAAGTGTTGAAGGTTTCAGACAGTTTGGCAGAAAAACATGACTGGCAGACGAGAAGCTGGACATGAGCCAGCAGTGTGCGCCTGCAGCCCGAATGGACCAACTGTGTTCTGGGCTGCATTAACAGAGGAGTGGGCAGCAGGGAGAGGGAGGTGGTTGTTCCCCTCAGCTCCTGTGAGGCCCCATCTGCAGTACTGTGTCCAGGCCAGGGACCCCCAGCACAGGAAAGACACAGAGCTTTTGGAACGAGTCCAGAGGAGGGCCACTAAGATGATCAGAGAGCTGGAGCACCTCTCATAGAGGAAAAGATGAGGGAATTGGGCTTGTTTAGCTTGGAGAAGAGAAGGCTCTGGGGAGACCTCATTGTGGCCTTCCAGTACTTAAAGGGAGCCAATGAACAGGAGGGGAAATGACTGTTTACATGGATTGATACTGATAGGATAAGGGAGAATGGTTTAAAACTGAAACAGGGGAGGTTTAGGTTAGATGTTAGGAGGAAGTTTTTCACACAGAGTGGTGACACACTGGAACAGGTTGCCCAAAGAGGCTGTGGATGCTCCATCCATGGAGGCATTCAAGGCCAGGCTGGATGTGGCTCTGGGCAGCCTGGTCTGGTGGTTGGCGACACTGCACACAGGAGTGGGGTTGAACTCAATGATCTTTGTGGTCCCTTTCAACCCAGGCCATTCTATGATATGCTACGCAGAGCTGTGAAATTGACCATGTCCGTCTCACAAAACCAGAACCAGACTGGCACTGACTTTCAATGTAAATCTGTTAGGTTTGTTTTTGTTCCATAGTGAGTTGTGTTATAATTCAGCAAAGCATGCTTTACTCAGTTCTATGAAGAAGTTCACCCAGTTTCTATTTAAGTCAAACTGAATATACAAAAACGGGCATATGTTTCAGTGATTTTCTACTAGGGAATGCTTTCCCTAAACAGTGCTTTAATGCTAGAGATTAAAGAAAGTATCCAGTATGTAGATGTGTGGGTTGCAAAGCCCAAACCAAAACATGCAAAATACTTAAGAAAAGGGTACATTCCTCTGATCTCTCATTATAACTTTGGTCAGATTTAAATTCTTTTCCTGATTTTTTCACTCAGTGTTTTTTAAACTATCCATAATAGGAGTGTTTTTTTCTTCTAGCATACATTTCTACCTCGTATACAATAACTGTTTTATGAAAAATCACTGAGAAAAATATAGGACTGAAGGAAAACTAATGAAATGGATATGGAGGCTTAGTGTCTAAGGTGATACGGTACATGCCATCTGGGAACAAGGAAGCTGCTAGATTCAAAGATCGGAATTTGTAAAGCAATACAGGCATGGTATATGAATTAATGTAATTTTCAAGATATATCACAAAAATAAAGTCGCATGAGTTAATGGTAATACCACTAATCAAAACAGAAAAGGTAAGATGATAGATGAATTTATAGTCATTGTTGATAGTCTT